CTGCTCCCAAGTCCTTCTGCAATACCAATCAATCTCCCCGCAGCATTTGGAGTGATGACCAAGGCTTTCCTTTCAAATGCCACATCAGGGTGCCTGTCACAACCACAGAATACAAACAGGAACGTTAGTGAGTCATGTAAAGTCATGCTTGCATCTTCTGTCACTGGCATTGTCATGGTGAAGGTTGAAAAGTTGCAAAAGAAACTTTAATTAATACATGATAGGAGAAATTGAAAATACAGAAGTGCCAGATTAGAGGAGAGAGACTGCTCAGAATGTTCCATCGACATAAACATATCTACAGAGACAAGTAGGTGATACCAGGCCAAGTTACAGGTCTGATCTGTCACTCACGTGCATCATCCTGGTGAGTGGGCTTGCATCTACATAGACCTGTCTATATAGCCTGGAGGAAGGTCTCCACCTGCTTGTCTCTACTGAAATTGTTAGTGAAAGTGTTACTTTGGTTATAATCTTCCACAGTAAAAATGTATCCATCAGGCGAATGTTCTGAAATATGGTTTTATCTATAGTTCATTTGAATCATGCATGTGATGTGCCACCTCCAGAAAGTTATGTAATGTTGCTGTGAATAGACAAGAAATATTTCAGGTTTTCACCCATTGGTTCTGCAGTATGTAAAAATATATTTATGTACTTTTTGATCTCGCCTTCTCTTTCTCCTTCTCTCTTACCTTTCTCTTCCTCTCTCTCCCTCTCTTTTTCTCTCTTTCCCCCTCTCTCCCCCTCCCTCTCTCAGACTCAGTAGCAGCAGTGTTTAGCAGCAGGCTCACCTCCACATGTATCCAACATAATGAGATTTGGCTTTGATTTTCTTCGCCTCTGGGAGGAAAAAGGAAGAGAACTTTTGTAAAAACAAAAAACAAAAAAACAAAAAACAATGACAAGGTGCTGTCATTTTAAACTGTTATTCTGATGAATAATTTAAGATGCCCATAAATAACAAATTTCTAGGGCACCTTTAAGTTGCAAGAAGCCAAGCTGCATTGTGCCATAAGGGAAAAACTAGGAATTAAAATGGAAACTGTTAAAGAAGTGTGTCCCAGAGCATCGGGGCAAGGGTGAATGCGTTTCTCTTTTTAATGGTATAACACACAGTCAAGGCCTGTTCAGACAACTGTACAGGTAGGGTGATGTACAGAAAAATGCAACTTTAAGTTACTTTTTTTTACAAAGAAGCCAAAGAAAAAAAAAGAGAGAATTTCACATCTGACATCTGTTGGTGAAAGAAGTCAAATAAACTTACAGATGGCAGCTTGAAAAGCATAAGAATAATAACATGGAAAGCTTGTGGAGACAATCCCTAACAAGTAATAATTAGGTTAAGCATTTCCCGGGGGCGGCTATCCTGGGGTCTTCACTCTGCCTCAGCTGTGGAGAAGAACCAACCTTGACTACCTGAGGAACTAGTGTGGAGCACAAACATCCAGGGCACTGATGATCAACTTCCACAACTGTGTCATCACCAGTGTTCTGACGTAGATCCAGACAGGCCAGAACCACCACAGCCTGTGTCTTGTGTCTCCCCCATGAACAATAGCCACACCCACCTTTACAATGGCACTGAACTGGACTTATTGCATAATGACACTAAACTCCGTACATCTGACTGTATGTCCTTGTGATGCCCTTTACTCATGATGCCCTTCCAGCTGCTGTTTATGACATATGTGCTGCACTGAATGTCTTTATTAAGCTCATGTTTACACTGGAGTGATTTATGAGGTTATATGGATTACTGGATGGGCACCTTTGGTATTGCACTCACATCAAAACTACAGTGTTTACAGTGTAATTGTGTGGGGTTTTTTTTTTTTTTTTTTTTTTTTTTTGAGTCTTGGGTCTTTGTGAATCTTTGGAGATGCCTTTAAAAACAATGATGGCCTTGCCCTCTATCTGAAGTTCTAACATTACACAACACAACCAAGCTGCAAGACCTTTCTAAGATGGAAAAAACAAATGGGCCTAAATTGAACCTAAATTAAAACTGATAGTCAGAGTCAAAATGAGCATTTCTTTGTTAGATTCATACAATCCTGATCAACACTGAAAAAGCTAGCTCGAATTGTCCTCCCAGTAAAACAAACTTGTGGCACAGCAAACCACACAGCAGCCTCTCCATCTTTTGGATGAGATGTTGCTGAAAACCAAATCACCTTTTCCATCTTGATCCTGTCAGAAGAGACGCGTGACTCTCTGTGGCCAGCTCTAAAAGAATCACAAAACAAGAACTTAGAATCATAAAATCATTTCATAATCTTAAAAATCCAACCCAGGTGGATTAATGACTGCAATATGAAAGTGTAATTAAAGCTGCAAGCAGCGTCAAATGGCCCTCTCTCAGCCCACGCTGTGCCCACAAATGCTGTGCCAGCGCACGCCTCACATACAAACACCGTGCCCACAAACGCCACGCCCGCACTAACCCTGATGTCTGTAAACCCACACCTCATGTCTAACCCCTATCTTAAACCCTAATGTTAGGCCCAACCCTAAACGTAACCCAAACCTTAACCTAGCCCTAGTCTTAACCCTAACCATAGCCCCAGCCCAAACTCTAACCCTAGCCCTTACTCCTCACATAACCCTGCCATTTTTCTAAATTTTTGCACGTGTTGGAAATTTTTTTTTTTTTTAAATCAAAGACGGCAGACTTCCAGTTTGGCCACCCATGCCAACACATCCTCCACCAGAAAAATTACATAGTGCACCTTGAAACGTTTTTAAATGTCTTTGCCCCCTGCTGGCCAACAGAGAAAAATGCCCCATGTCAGTAATATATGTTTTTGCTTATAGTTGTTCATAGAATGTAATTCCCAAATTTGATAAAAATCAGATAATGTTTCATGTATTTGCTGGGGGGCGCTATAGTGTTCACTTTTCATATGTTTTATAGTGTATTATATTCAGGCTAAGATCATGCATTAGTGATTCAAATTTCAGCATGATTGGACTAAGTCTGTGCAAACGCTGCACTTTGTGAACCATGATAATTATCAGAATAATTTGGCTAACTTTAGATGTTCCACTTCTCGAGATGATGTACGGTGATTTTCAGCCCTGTGAGTGAAGCGCCTTCAGAGGAGTGCGTTCACATGCAACATCAGCGAAAATGCGGAGTCAGCATTTAGACAATTTCAATCCAAAATGGTTGCAGTCTGGTTTTGTCAGGGGGTGTGACCATAATAATATTTTTTGTTTGTCTTGACATGATGAATGTGTGTACTGAATTTTGTGGCTTTGGGACAAAGTTGACGTCGGGACTTCTCCCATAGGTGCAATGTATTTTGACTTTTCCAGGTGGCGCAGTGTTGTCATTTTTCATGCCCATGCATGCAACCTATATTTTATCAAACTTTTCACCACTTCAAGATTTTGGGCCAAGTTTGGTGAGTTTTTGAACGTGTTTAGGGGTTCAAATTATAGCTCAAATATAATAATATGAGCAAAAACAATATATCCATTAACATGGGAACAGCATATTATACCTTTTTTGAAAGCTCTTGACCTTCCCCACGTCTCAGTGGGGTCATTGGTGAATGTGGGCCGCATCTCCACCATCTTGTCAGGGTCACCCCCTGACCTCCCATTGACTTCCATTCATTCCATTGTGATAAATATGGCCAAGGCCTTGGGCGTGGGTTACTTGGATACTGCTGTTCATGCAGGGAGCAACTGAGAGAATGAAACTGCAAGACGTCCTCTCGCATTTGCCCATGCATTCGTCATTGCCATGCATTTGTCGTAGAAAAAGCAATAGGCCATACGCCCTGTCAGGGCTCGGGCCCAAGCCTAATAACAGTAACTGACAAAGCAAATGCCACATGGCAACAGGACCATGCCAAAACCAATAAAATACATTTAACAAGACCTACAAGAATAGAAAAGTAGTCATTTTGTTTTTAAAAATCTAGTGTAAGTACAAACTATACAACTCACTGTATGTGCTTAATATATGTAAAGGACCTGTAATACACAAAATTCACTTGTGAGCTTTATGTTGTTACCTCGTTATAAACAGACCTGGAGTTGTATTTTGTTTCATTCAGACATGTTTGAGTAACTCTTTATTATTAGTCTGTCAGCATCTCCAAATCTCAAAATGCTCTGTTCCACCTTGTGATGTCATGAAGCAGAAGTTTTCAAATTGACAGATACCTTTTATCTTTAGTTCAGTAGAGATTGGTAATTCCAGGGCTGAAATCATCCAAATCATTCTAGAGAAGGTGTATGGACTTTAAATACACAGTGGAGCACTTCCTGTATTACCACATGACATCACAAAGTGGAACAGAGTGTTTTCACTTTGAGAAAAAAACTCTGCCTTAATATGCAGGGTTTGTGAGTTAAACCTGTGTGAATGAAGCAAAACACAACTCCAGGTCTGTTTGTGATGAGGAAATTACATTAGAACAGAGATCAGAAAATAGCTTTTTAAGGAGCCTTAAACAGCTACTGGATCAAGTTTCACATCTGAGTTTGGAGAAAGAAGATATATTAGCTTCTAAACTTAAAGGCGCACAGTGCGGAGGATCACCATCCATGCATGCTTCCATGATGTTACTGTATTGCCTAGAATGTTTCACAGTAGGGCATTAAACAAATTTTTATTCAATTACAGGTGTTTTTATTGCTGGAATATCTTATAAAAGTGGGTGTGGAGTATAGAGCTGCCCTGTAACTTGTAACCTGCTTGTCAACATGGTGATAAATGTTTATGTGCATACTGTGAGGCATTCCTAACACATCTATCTTAATTAAGACTTCGATAAAATACATGTTATTGAATAGAAACAACATAGATACAGTCGAATGCCCTACTCTGAAATATTTTTGTCAAAAGTGCAATAATAAAATCCATAACAAAACCCCTAACAGACGCTACATTATGCACCTTTAACAAAACTAGTAGTTACAGAGGGTTTATCTGTTGTGGACCCATTTTGGAGTATCTTCTTGATTAGCCATAGCCACAAACCTGAGCTGCCAAAGGACCTTTATAAGAATACAAAGTGAAAATGTTTTTGCAGTTTTACAGCAAAGGTTAAACTGAAAACGTAGAGGCAATGTACAGAGAAACTTACAAAAACATAAAATAAAATGAGCAAAGTTACATTGTTATTTTTAAAACTCTTGACAAACTATAGAATTAGCTTTACATTTAAAAAAATAAAAACATGAAAAGATTATATACATAAGTGGAGTCTTCATAAAAATGTCCAAGTCTTGTCCAGACTTATGTGCACATACAGTATCTGAGTGTCATCCTCAACAGCTTTCTTCCTCATTTCAGTACAGTCAAATACAGCCTGGAGGAACTAGAAGATTACAAAAATAGCTACTAATCTATTTACAGTGGATTTTCAAAGTTACCCAGTCCATTGAGAATAAAGACTTGGGCCTGTCTCCTCGTGGTTCTGTCCATTCGACTTAAAATAGGCACCAGGCTCATAGCAAAGTGGTACGACTCATCCAGGTCAGTCTTTGGGACATCTTTCGGAGATACAGGGAGTGGTCCGAGTGGAGGAAGTGGTCCGAGTGGGCTGAGTGGTCCAAGTGGGCCGGGAGATGAGGAGCGCTTCAGGACTTTGTTTGGGAGTCGTGATGATACAATTTCTGCTGAAGCGGCTGCAGCTGCAAGAAGGTCCCCATTCTCTCCCAAAGATTCCCCGTCTCCGTCTATGTCCGGACTTAAGCAGCGCTTGTGGCTGTTGAGGATGAATGAGGAGAAGTCATGATTAAATTGTTGACTTGATCTTTGGTAATAAAACTAAATATAATGTAACAATAAGCAATGTATTTTAATTACCGTCTGTTTTGCAGAAAAGGCAAAAGGAAGGCCATCTTCTCCCCATATCTGTGCTCCTTCTGGGCGTTTTTAGCCTTGACATATCCGT